TGGAATTATACATGGTCGCAATGAATGTATAGTTAAACCTGCAGGGTGCCATTATGCTGACCACCTGACATGGCAGTTCGTAGATGACCTGCCAGGCTCTCTAACTAGTCTAAACCCTCGCCGGCCGAGGGGGGGGGGGGCGGGTGCCGCCCCCCATAGGGTTTTTTCGCGATAGCTCAGAACACGCTGGCGATAGAGAGCTGAAACTTGGCATACCTGACCTTTGATCCAAGCCGCATCTTTTGACAACCAACCGCATTTTTGGGTCAGGTCAGGTCACTGACCTATGACGTCATAAGTGAACCTCTGCACGGTCTTCAGATGTCGCAACTTCCAACGCCCTCACTGCCAGAGGAGATGTCACAGGGAAATGAAACTTGCAGGATCTAGTATCCATTATGAGTCCCACAACTTGTATATCTCGGATTTTTCCTAAAGGTCATATGAGGTCAGGTCATTTTCGTGACCTCACCATTATAAGTCAATGGGGAAAAATGAAAACTGTTATTCTGCGCCGGGAACGATCTCCAACTATCTCAAGCACATAGAATCGTGATTTTATGCACTCCTTGCAAGGCTAGATGCGTCACTTTTGCAATGTTGACCTTGCGTGACGTCATTTATGACGTCATCAAGGTCATATTAGTTTTTCGTTAATAACTCTTGATCAAATTGAGCTAGCGAGTCGGGAAAGCCACCAATGGACTCAGGAAGACCTGCCGAATCGAATGATATGCGACATGACCTCTTTCGACCAACTTCGTGACCTGGGGGTGCTGACCTGACCTTGACCTGAGGTCAACACCCCAAGTTGACCTGACCCGGACAAAAAGTATATCATTCGACGCGCCTGAGCGAGGCGAACACGATGCTGCCAAAATCGGCGCTCTGCGGCCGTTTTTTGCGAAGTTATTCACCAAACACTGAACCGTACCCTGGGGCACTTGACCTGACCTCAGAGGTCACCGGTTGACCTAGGACCTTAAAATCGGGTACCAATCTCTGCGTCTCGTAACGGCGCACACGCTCGTTTTTTCCGCGACGCGCTAGCTCCACCAGGGGCGAAACGGCGAGGGGGGGGGGTCGTACCCGCCCCCCTCGGCCGGCGCGTATGTAGAAAACCAATAGGTCCGGCGAGGGTTAAGGTCTGAATGCAGCTAGTCTAGGAAACTACTCAACTTGAGTCGAATCTTGATGTTAGGGACCACGGCGGTTGGATGTTGGAAGCTGCATTTGACCACGGAATCAACACAATCACTGCCTCTCTCTCTCTCTCTCTCTCCCTCTCTCTCTACTCTCTCTCCTCCCTCTCTCCCTCCCTCTCCCTCTCCCCTCCCACTCCAGTCTGCTGCCAGCTGGAGTCTCTCTCAGCCTCTCTCCGGCTGGAATTTCCGCAGTCCTACTCGTCAGTCCGCTGGCAGCTGAAGTTTCGGTTGTTATCTGGTGCCAAAGAAAAACCGCCCACGAGACCGGTGCAGCTGAGCTGGCCAGGAGTGGGAGACTCGGTCTGATTTTGGACTCCGATCTGCCACTTAGCCGTCGGACACACTGGCAGTGGACACTGGACAATGGACAATGGACGGAGCTGATTATATTGAGGTTGACGCAATTAATTAGTTGATTGATTGACTGGCCCCTTCTCATTAGTATGAAATCATGATGTTAGTTGTATTTGCTTCAGGTATTCATATCTGGCGGTCACATATGCACGCTAGATATATACTGAGACGGGTAACATAGCACCATCGGGTGGCCGCGTTTCGTCACATTGACTATCAACACTGTTTCGGAAATAGAAACAATGCAAACACACACAAGAAAACCTGCTAAAAGTTAATATTTTGTAATAAATTGTATCATATGAGGAAGGAACTACTTTATTATAGCTGATGAAAGTGTTATTATTGTGTGTGTTTTTATTGTTTCGTCTTCCGAAAAGGGGTGTTGATAAAGTCAATGTGACGAAACGCGTCCAGCCGATTGTGCTGTGTTACCCGTCGGCGTCACAATATGTTTATACCAAAATTAAACGTCCGAATGAAACGTCCAGTGTGCAATGTGCACTGTGTTTCTATTGGTATCTACCTGAGGGAGGCATGTGACGTTTGATCAGCAATCAATATTATTACTGAATCATTGATATATTCCATTAGCTGACGAATCAAATCGTCAATAGGTACACATTCTCCACACTACATGCAGTTGCAGAATGAACGTGCTCGAATGCACCAAAAAGTCGTGACGCATGTAGTAAGGCTTTTGATCTTCAAGCAAAAACTTTATCAGAAATGTAAAAGCATCCTCGAAACGCCACGAAATGGGTCACATTAATTGACCGGATCGACAAAAAGCTGACGGACGTCTCATTTTCCAGCTAGAGGTTGACAGCCTGCTCAGCTGTGTGGGCCGGTCGCGCGGCACGTGATCATTCCAGGTCCTATGTATAGGCCGCCCAACGGGAGCGGGTGTGTCCGCCGCCCGGCTAAAACTGTCCGCCGACGGAGGGAGGGGAGGGGAGGGAAGGGAAGGGGCAGCGCCAGGTCCAGTTATGGAAACTGCACCGGACAGAGAGCCGGCGGGGAGTGGCGAGCCAGACAAAGAAAGATGCATGCGATGACAATAAAAAACTGCACAGTTCACAATTCATACACATGTTTCCTATATGACAGCAATATTTCAAAATTGCTGTAATCTGTCTAAAGCAGAATACGCTTCCTTGCTAGGAAACATCCGTATTTTAATTGTAGACCTTATTAACGTGATGACTTTGATGCAAAATTTCTGAATGATTTCTTTACCTACATGTATGCCAGAAAGCACACACATCGAAAGGCTCATTGAGTACATTCTGAACATATTTACCTAATCAAGGAATTTCATGTAAACTGGACATTATAAAATTCCTACGTATTTTAATTCTAAATGATAGACCGCTGTGGTCTGTCTTTAAAACGAAGGTCGAAGGAACTCGAATCGAGTCGCTTGCTCCCATTTACATAGCTTAATTTTGCACAATCAGAAACTGTTTAGTCTTTCAGATAGAAATAATTGTCGTGGATCATTTCTTTATTACATCATGCATTTTTGAATATCAAGTTCCAACGATGTTACGAAACTGAGGTTAATGCGGCATGGTCCTTACGCCAATGACCATGGGCAACAACTACTTGTTTACTAAGTCTCACATTGCCCACAAGAATGTTCGTAAATATCGGTTGTTTTCATAGCGCTGAACATTGTTGTCCTTCAATGAAACGAGACACTTGAACTCTTCTTAGGGAACGGATGCATGGCACTATGGCAGTGTTTTAAGTGAAGCTGTTTTCATTTGCAGCTCGATAGCACAAACCACATATCCCTTGTAGCTTTCGATAATGAATGAGCTAGCGTAGATCGATTAGTGACAGCCGTTTAGTTTAAAGATGGTTTACTACGTGCTGCCCTAGTCATGCATGCCGAGTTGCATCGGATCCATGCGGCTCGCAGGTCCACCGAGCGACTTGCGCTGTTGTGCGGTGACCAGTCACTGATGCCCCCATCCCTACCAGTGACTGGAGATTCACTGATGCCCCACCCCGCCCAGTGACTGGTCAGAGCACGGTACTGCGCGGAGCACCATGGACCGGGACCGCTGGGGTCACGATCAGCCGGAGCCGGCCGGCGCCGGCAGCGACGACAGTGACAGCGAGTATGAGGAGATTACGACCACCACCCGCACCGTCAAGAAGACCACCTACAACCCCAAGCCGCTGGTGGAGGCGCTGCGCTCCAAGGTGACGCTCGCTCGGGTCTGCCGGCGAGCTGTGCCGGTCCATCGAACTGACCGCCCGCGGCCGGACGGCCCTCCGCGGCTGTCATCTGCTGTCATCTGCCAGCGGTCGTCCGCGACAGCTGCAGACTCTATCTATTCACATCTTTTTGCTACGGCCTTTTCAACTCTGCTAATGCTTCTCTCAGCAAACTTCAGGTGTACCCTCACTGCACTTTTGTCGGCATGCCCTTCCGCCTGCTTTTGATGGGTGTGTTTGCTGTGCTGTGAGATTCTAACCGCTCGAGTCACTCGAGTTGCTACCTGCTCTAACCAGCACCCTCTTCACGTCTCTGGGCTGCGTCAGACGGGCGAGCTCCGTTGTGTTTGTTTCAGGTGTCTATTTCTGGCCGGCCGGCAGGCCAATCCCACAGCATTCGGAAGACCGGCCGCCTTTTTCAGAGCGATGGATTCCACAGATTATGCTTGCGGGCGACTGTTGACATGATGCTGACCAGACTGCCCGGTGGCTCGGTATCCAGGTATGCCGGTGGTGGTTTCCTGCTCCCCTCTCTCTCCCCTTTCCCTCTCTCCGTCAGCCCCTGGCACCCGGCACCGGCTCCACGCCCGTCGGGCCGCCCGTCTGGAACATTTCTGGAATCCGGCCGCGCTGACGGCGACTAGTGTGGCCCGAGCTGTGGCGGCGGCGGAGCCCTCCTCCTAACAGTGTCCTGAGCGGCTCCGAGCGCCGTAGTGACCTGACCTGACCTGACCTGATCTCACGGACCGGGGTGTGCTGTGATTGTTAACTCGCCACACTCGCGCCCGAGATGGGCAAGACGTCCAACATGTACAGTGCGCGAGTGTCCTCTCAGAGCCGGAGCTCCATCAGCTCGACGACAGTGCACCATGGCACGACGTCAGCGTTCCCGAGTGCTGAGCCCTCCGACCTGGAGAGCTTCTTCAGCTCCACGGTCAGACCCCTCACACTCCCCCTCCCCGGCGGCGGAAAGGTCACTGCTGTACTTCACTGATGCATGGACTGTGCTTTTGCGGTTATTGTTGTGTCACTGGAATGTCAATGATCAATGTCATCAATGTCAATGATTAATTTACTGCTGTAAAATGTTAACTGTTTTATGAGTCAGTACTGATATTCTGTTCCGAATTTATAGTAGGACGCCTCTTGCATTTTTGGTCAATGGCAAACGCTCACAGTTTATTTTGATCCGTGGCGAATAGTTGATTTCAATATCCACCGGAAATGTGTTTAGTATCTGACATATTTGTTGAGACCTGATCACCTGAGTCCCGTGATACGGCCCCTTCACATTAGATCAGCTTAGGTAAGATTTAGATCGCTACATAAGCCCAGTAGTACGTAAAAGAAAAAGTTTTCCTAAACTCACTCCATTCTAAGTAATGTTTGTGCAGACAAAGCTGACCATTAACTAATGTATTCCGTATATTTTACCTTGCTTGGACCATATAAATGTGTTGGATTGGAACACAACTGTCCGCTTATCTTTCTGTTTGTCTGTCTGTGTGTCTGTCTCAGCACAGTTTTCCCCGAATACGGCTCTCAGGCCTCAGTTGCTCTTTCGATATGATGCCGGTCAATAATAATGTAAGCTAGTGAATGTATCCCTGTCAAGTGTCTGACTCGACACTACCGTCCGTTCCGTGGCGATGCAGGAGATGGGGGCCAACAAGAAGCTGTTTGGCAAGGACCTCAGCGAGTATGACAACATGGACATGGACGACATGTTGGACCAGCTGACCGCAGAGGAGATAGAGCTGCTCACCAGGGACGTGGATCCCGACGTGAGTAGTTCCCGGTGTGGTCTGGAGAGGGGTGCTGGGTGTGAGCGGTTTGGTGGAGCGGGAGTCTGGTCGGGGGGGGGGGAGGGCTCTACTGAGCAGTGAGCAGTCCCAGAGCGAGGTGAGAACTGTCTTAGAATGCCATTTTAGGGGTGAGCTCGGTTGAAATCTGGACTCTTATCGCAACTAAAATTTATCGGTGTCGGTCTCTGAAGTCTCGGAATTGGTCTCTTTCAATGACCCATTCCTCTCTCTCTCTCTCTCTCTCTCTCTCTCTCTCTCTCTCTCTCTCTCTCTCTCCTCTCTCTCTCTCTCTCTCTCTCTCTCTCTCTCTCTCTCTCTCTCTCTCTCTCTCTCTCTCTCTGAAACAGTCTGAGCATCTTTCGCGGGCAATACATTTAGTCGTAAATATCCCCGATTGCTTATATGCAAGAGATCGGAGAGCGTTTCTTCTGCCATGATTGTGCACACTGGTGTCAAATCAAGTCCCAAATAAGTCCTCCGGAGCCCGCACTAGCCGTACCGGAACGAGCGGTTATGGTGTGTACCAACTGTTTACTCCTATCGATAGCGTAAAGTTTATGGAGGCGCTCACTAGCGTGACAAGTGCATCGACCACATCATCATGCTGTTGCACAAACTCGTAAGATTATCTAATAGCTGTGTATGCTGGGTTTAAGTAATCATAGCAAACGTCATCTGGAACATTTAACAACACGGTGTGCTGTGGGAAAGAGGAGAGAGAGAGAGAGAGAGAGAGAGAGAGAGAGAGAGAGAGAGAGAGAGAGAGAGAGAGAGAGAGAGAGAGAGAGAGAGAGAGAGAGAGAGAGAGAGAGAGAGAGAGAAAAAAAGAGAGAGAGAGAAGAGAGAGAGAGAGAGAGAGGGAGAGAGAGAGGGAGACAGAGATCCCGAGTAAGAGGTAGAGGGCAACTGTTGCACACTTCCGATATTTTGATTGATCGATGACCTTGCAAATCGAAAAGAATATCCCAATGCTCCGTTCTCCAAAGATAAATGTCCATCACTGCGCCTTGGCCTGCGCGAGTCCATCTCGGTTTGTTCAATAGCTTATGGACTAGCGGATGACATCACAGGGCAATGGACGGAAAGATCCATCTCCATAACATTGCTACGATTGATGAAATTAAAGGACACACCAGCCCGATGGTCGGGCCCGCAGCTGCACCTATCCCACAGCTAGACCTGCAGTTAATGCGGGCTCGCCTTTATTGACAGACCTCCAGCGTTTCAAACATGATGCGTCACAACAGAGTTCTATCACCAGACAGAAAAGAGATCATGTATTTACATACGACCCAGATATGCTGCAAATCTGTCAAATAACTTCGTTTGAAAACGATAATGGATCGATCTAGAATGAACTTTTGATTAAATGATAAGGATTTCATAACTTATTTCATTCCTGGGAAGATGACTTCGCGTACTTTCTTAAAAGCTTGTTGTCAATGAGTCATGTAAAAAAGTCGTCGGCTTAACCCGCGCCGGCTTAACCCGGGGGGGGGGGGCATTTTGCCCCCCCTGGGGTTTTTCTTAAATAGCGAGAAAACGGCCGCCAAATTTTGGATACCTTCCCTGAAACATCAATTTGACACCTTCACACAAAATTTCAAGTCACAGGTCACCTTGGGTCAGGAGTTATTGAGGTCAAACTGAGGTCATGTTCGAGTAAAAATGGGCAAAAAACATGACATCTTGAAACGCTAACCAAATCTAAGTTAACAAGCAATTTTAACGTTCTTTACGTGGTTATGTAGAGAAAAGACGGCGCTACAAAACAGTTATCTCGGATTTTCAAAATTTTGGGATTTTGACCCCCAAAAATAAAAGAAAATTGATTTTTTTGGAAAAACACAAAAAAATTCCGAAAATTTTTCGAATTTCGAAAAAACCGGAATATATGTGATAGTCCCTGCGCTCTTCCATATACATACCAAATTTTAGATCGATACCTCCTTTTTTGGCCAAGTTATAGCGAAAAACGGTTCAAAATTGATGACGTCAAATTTTTGAACTCAATTTTTTAGCGATTCTAGACCACGTAGCGCAAAACAAAGACCACCATTGAACTCCCCGTGATGAGCTGCATCGAATCGATACCCATTTTATTCAAAAATATCAACTTTGAAATTTGACCTAATTTGACCTGACCTTGACCTGACCTTGACCTGACCTTCACCAAAAACATAATCTCAACTGACCCCAAGGGCTGCCTGTCCCACATAATCGCATTTGGCATATGAAATGGACCATAAAACATGCATCACATGATATTTTTAATTTGTGACCCGCAGTGACCTGACCTCTGTGACCTGACCTGGTATCAGTGACCGTAAATAGCAAAATATGTGTTTGACGAACATTTCCTCATCGATGATTTTCAATGAAATGCATTTTACTCGATTTTACAACGCATTTCTTGAAATGCCTGTAAACGGTAAAAAATCGACCTTTGACCTGACCTGTGACGTCATCTGTTAGACCGAGGTCAATGAAAGTAGGTCACAAGGTAGTTCGCCGTTGGGGCTATCCAACGCCGTTTGCCGCTTGTCGCTATGTTGCGTGGTTCTCGAGATCTTAGGGGGGGGGGCAAAATGCCCCCCCCATCAGACCGCGTTGCTCGGCAGACCCCATCAGGGCGCGGGTTAACCCGCGAGTTGCTGGGGGGGGGGCGTTAAACGCCCCCACTTTTTTCGCCGGGCCATAGCATAAAAACGGCGCGCCGCAGGCGCGCCAAATTTTGGGTACCTGTAGGACATTGATTGAAGTTTATTGTGACAAAGTTTCAAAAAAATCGGTCGGAAAATTTTTGAGATATCGAGGTTTTAGTGACGTCATGATTTCGGAGTTTTCGACCAAAAACGGCATATGTTCAAAAAATCATATAAAATCACAGAATAGACATACAGACATGCCGTAAACGCCATTAGACTGCCAATACCATGATCAATCAAATGGCTATCTTCGATTATTGATTATCGTTCCGCATTTTCCAAAATCTTGAACTGAATCTTGGCAATTTCTCGTGACTACTTCACGACCATGATACATGAATTTCTTAAATTGAAGTTTTTGAGCCAAACACGTACACATATGATAAAATGAATGTCACCATCGTGTTCTACGCCCCAAATTACCTATAAAACATGTGTCACAGGCTGCGAATATCAGTTTTGATTTTCGGGGATATGTGCCTGCCCGGTTGACCTGACCTTGACCCTGACCTATGCTTGACTGACCTTTATATGGAGCTGACACTCTTGTAGGCCTTATAGGGTGGATTGTGCACCGTTTTGACAGAGTTTATGGCGAGAGGCGCCCATTGTGAAGTCCTGAAGTCCATGCTACTGAAAGCCCGATTTCAGGTGTTTGACCTGACCTTGACCCGACCTGTGACCTCAAAATTCAACTTTAAAGTACTCATCTGAAGCGTCTCGTCGCGCTCTTTCGTTTGCTGCCTCGCGCGTTTCGCTGCGCCTATTGGTTCTCGAGTTATCGGCTGGGGGCGTTTAACGCCCCCCCCCCCCAGCAAACGGTGGGTGGCGAAATACCCCAGCAACTGCCGGGTTAAAAGCCAAAAATGCTTTTATGTACATGACTTGGATTGGCCACTTTCAATCTTGGTAGTAAGAACATAGAAACGGAGGCGGAAAGTAGTTCATTGGCTTATACAATATACATACTTGGTTTGGTTTAATCATCGTATCGGTACCTAAGCAATGGAAAATTTATCAATACTCATAAAACCAGTAAAACGCCTTTTGGGCGAAGAACGAGCGAGCGAGATAGTGAGCCCTTGCACGTGCGGAAGGGCGAGAGGGTGCTTCCAACGGGCTTGCGCAAAGCACCCTTCTAACTGGTCGCTAGCGGTGTGCCAAATTTGAACGCAATCGGCCCAGCCGTTCCTGAGATCTGGAAGCGGCATTCTGCACGTGCGCACGTGCAAACGGGGTCCAAAATGACTTTTGCACGGCACCCTACTGACTGGTCCCCAACCGTGTACCAAATTTGAGCGCAATCGGCCCAGCCGTTCTCGAGATCTGGAAACGCCCCCTGCACGTGCGCACGTGCAGTAGCACCCTAACCGCAACACATGGGAATGCATTGCCTGGTGGGTGCCTGCCTGTATGCCAAGTTTCAGCGAAATCGCCCCATTAATTACCGAGTTACTGAAATGGGAACAAATTTGGCACCTCTTATTGTTGTATTTTGCACGTGCACTGGGGGTGACCCACATGCATCGAAAGTATCCTATTTTGGATAGAAGGCATGCTGCTACCCTACAAAAATTACCGCAAGTCAATCGCCCAAGCGGCTGCTGAGATATGAGCCTCTCAAAATCACTATTTTTGCAAAACAGCTTGAACACCCTTGACTTTTCACGTGGCACGTGCCACGACGGTCACTGAGATGTATCAAAAGTAGTCAATTACGGGGTAGAAGGGATGGGGCTACCCAACAAAAAAGACCGCAGACCAATCGGTCCAGCGGTTGCTGAGATATAAGCCTCTCAAAAGCGTTACAGGCCGGGCCGGGCCGGGCCGGGCCGGGCCGCTCATACTGAGATTTTCCCGTTATATTGAAAAGACTCACTTCGCTCGCTGCGCTCGCTCGCTCGTAATGAGCATAAATGTCAATCTAAGGCAATTCAGCTATCATTTAGTACCTAACTAAGAGCAAGCAACTTCCTGGATATGTCCAGGAAGTCCGATAGTCCGCAAGGAAGCTCATCCGTCAGAACACTCAGCTATTCCAAGAAAAACAACGTCATCGATTCTTATTTGTGGGCTAGTCAAATCCCATTACCATTAATATCCAATTCTAAAGCTGACTTCGCGATAAGTGGCTTGACTGCTAAATGGAAAATCTGCGCTCTTGTTGATGTTTAATGCCTCGGGAAATTAAATATCATTGAAGTTGATGATCTAGCCGAGCAATAAGTTCTATCAATGACAGTGGCGCAGCCAGGGGGGGGGGTCAGAGGG